TAGCCTGGGGCGGGTGTGCTGGCGACGGCGGGCTTCGTAAAAAGAGGGCTGGCTGAGGTGTCCTGTGTGGTGAGTGCCCTTCTCCCTCAGCGGGCGTAGGAGGTGGATCTGCCCGGGTTGTGGTACGTCTGTCTGATCCTTTGTCTGTGTGCTTGCGTGGTCAGTTGGCCCTGTGGAGCCTGATCGCCTCCGCGGGCACCTCTGGCCGCTGCTCGCTGCCTGCTCTGTGAGGAGCTTTCGTGGCTGTGGTTACAGCTGGTCCCCTGCTGGGTTCGTTCCCTGTGCCTGGTGCCGAGGTAACTGGTGAACAGCAGATGTGCTGTCACCTTGTTCACTGCCTTCACAGCCTCCGTCCCGCAGTCACATTCCCCGCAGGCACGCTTTTGCAGACTGGATTCCTAGCCACCTTAATCTGTGCGTGCGAGAGAGCAACATGGCAGTGTTGGGGAGAGACCACAGCTACCATCTGCCTGGGGGAACCCCAGAGATGGGAGGCAGGGGGAACTGCCTGTCATTAGCTCAGGACCGTGGCATCGGAGCCAGCCCACGCACCCCCTTTCTCTATAGAGTCATGCCATGTTTGGGCCTTCCTCTTCATTCCAGCGCAGACGCTTCATCACAGTGTCCTGTAGCAGTACTGTGTGGGCCACGGGGGTTGGCACTGATCCTGAGGCAGAGCATGCCTCTGTCTTAGTCTGTATAATTCACTGAGTCACTGCGTGCCTGAGCACTGACCGGGGGATGAGCATCACATACTGAGTTACATGCACGTGGCCACTGGGTCCGGCAGAGCCGACACGAATTCTGAGAGAAAAGCATCCGCCTGAGTTTTCCACAACTGTTCCAGCAACATGACATGCAGCCAAAGCAAAAAGCAATCAGAGAGCCTTCCATTACCTATTTACTATGAGACTGGGAAAGAAAAACACGTCTGCTTACAGTTAACAATGGTCATGGCCCCTCAGGCTTTTCTCATGATTCTGCGTTTCATTGTAATAACCTTTAAGTGTGCTTCTGGAAGGAATCTACTTCGTGATACTCTCTGGGGACTGTTGGTTTCTCCATTCATCAGCATTACATTCTTGACAGTAGAATGGTAAAATTATCTTTTGAGCTGGTCTTGAAAAATACCCATAGAAAATGCAGATGTAGGTAGAAAATTAAGGTTTCTACAAACACACACAGTTGGATGCATGCTGGTATAATGTAGTATAAATTTTAAGCTAGGCCAATAAATGCATTGAGATCTTTCTTTCATTGATGAATCAGTAAAAGAAACCAGACCCCTCTCGTGCTGACATTTTATTCATCGGAAGTGGCCTGTGAGTAAAAGGCTTAGAATTCTCCTAAATGCCAGTGGCTCAGTCGCTGGCTGATGTCAGCTGTTAGACACTTGGCCAGTACTAGGATTTCACACCATAGTGCCAAATTTACAGACACAAAATAGCGTTGCTGAGACTGCTAATTTTGCCCCGAAGGTCTGTCCTGTCCTGTATTAATGTGGTTGAATGGTTCTGCCTCCAGAAGAGGGCACTGCTTCAGCACACTGCTTCTGCAACCACACAGAATCTGTACAAGATGGAGCTAACGCTATTGTGCATCTCCCAAAACAAACTATAGATTTTCAGAAATAAGTCTGAAAGTACATTTGACAGTGTAAAGTTGAACGGTGTAATGAGGAGCCTTTTGATTAACTAACACCACAAATGACAGTCATTGCAGTGAAGGGATTAAAAATATCTTCGGTTTTAATTTAATAGGCTCCTAACATGATATTTGCCAATAAGCCAGCTGAATGCTGACTGACATAGAGGACAGGCGACAAAAAAGGCACGCCTTGTGCTTCTCAACGTGTCCCACTGCTCATGCGTTGCACAGAAGCGCTGCTGTCACAGTACCAAAACTCCTCAGAGTAAATCTCACAAACAAGTTACTCAGGCTTCTTTTTGAAAAACCCCTGTGCTGTGCCAGAGCGCCGTGAACCATTGCAATCCTCCCTCGTGTTATCCCATAGAGGCCCATGGCTGCTCAAATTTCCTTGGCTGAAGACTTCTCAGGAAAACTTTCCAGATGCCTGGAAGATGTTCTGCTGTGCTGAGCAAGGTGTCTGTGCTCCCTCTCTCAAGCCCTGCAGATGGTGCTGTTTCGACAGGATGATACCTTTGAACATGCAGCAAAAAGGTGTGGCTAAAAGGTGTTGTATGTGTGGGTGTTGTAGTTCTCTGTTATACGAAGATCGAAGTTGTTTCTTTTTTATTTTTTTTTTTCCTGAACTCCATAAAGACGGAGGGCTTTTAGTCTCATAAAAAATAAAGGAAAAATAATTGATTTGAAAGTGCAGTTTTGCCTCTGCCTCTAGTCAGAAGCCTGTCCGTTGTACCTATAGCTTTGGGGATAATTTTTACTTGGCATTCAAGCAGTATCCCTGCCATGCTTGGCTGTTAAAAGTCTCTCTTGCAGAGGAGACTTGAAACTCAGGTCTTGACTATTTGTAGGTACAACAAACCCCGTGCAATGTTTTGTGATAGGGAGCCGCTTTCCATGAAAGTCAATCAGAATGTGCCAGGTCAAAATCCTCCCCCAGTTTCAATGGGTGTGAAATCTTCACTTCCCGTTCCAAACTGCAGTGCATCTTTGCACTTTGCCCTCTGTGCTAAGGCATCAGTCATACAGTCAGTTGCCATTCTAATTACTAATTACCCTCTGTAGTTACTACTTGTATTTTAATGCACTTGACCTATCAGATGGGACGTGTTGGACAGCCCCACCAAAACAGAAAGGAGTTTACTTCATGTTTTGGTGTCCAGATCACAAAATCTTCATAGGATACAACCATTTTTGTGACACTTCCCTAAATTTCATAAAGACTTGAACTCAGACTTCTCCCAGGGAAGCCAAAATTGCAGGAGTACAGAGCCTCCAAGAGTTTATAAGGACTAGAAATATCTCTAATGCACTAAGCTACATGTCATACTTCCAAGACACCTTCTCTCTCTTAAGGCCTATGTTTGCCTGGGTGTCCCATTTACCCTGGATGCCATTGCATGCCCAAGGCAATGATACAGATCAGCAGCCTCTGTTGATGCACAGCTTAGTGGAGCGGTGGTGTTATGTGCTGCATGATGAAGTTGCAGCCCCTAGTAGGGGTAAGATGAGAGAGGCTGCTGGAGTTCACACTCCTGCAACATGGAGGAGAGAAGAGGCTCCCTGGGTACTTTCAAAGACAATGGTGGTTAACCCATTTTCACCCCAATGGGACTGGTTATCATGCTGTCTACTCACTCAAAAGCCTCTAATGAGTTACAGGCACTAGATTCTAATTAGATACCTGCAGAAACCTGTTGTCAGCTTACGTTTTTATGTGATTCGTAAGCTTTAGTGGATGAAGAAGCTTCCCTTCAGGGTCTGAATGTTTCCCGTCTCAGTGGTAAAGGCATTGTGCTTCACAGTGAGATAACACATTTTCCAGAGTTAAGCCAGGCATGAGAACACTCTCTCTTGGCAGGTTTGGGCCAGGCTCAAGAGCTCTTACTTTCATTCTTGTGAAGGTTAATGAATCTTGATGATTATGCATGTGTGTGTGTGTTTAGGTCTGAACTGGAATTGACCCAAAGGTGGAGAGCAAGAGGGGTGCCCAAAGCTAGTCTTTCTGCACAGGCAGCCCCGGAATATGGGGCTTGCGTGAAAACTTTTAAGTTTCACACTACCACCAAGGTGGTGATGTGCATTTCTCAGCTGAACTGTTAATGGCTAGGGAAACTGTAAAGCTCATGGAAATACTGTGCTGAATAACCCTTCGCTTCACTTTTTTTGGTCTTTAGAAGCCTTTGTGAAGTCTTTTGTCTATTTTGGAATTTATGAGTAAGTATTTTTATTACTTTCACTGTAATACGGCTTCAGGTAAAGGTGACGTTAAGGTAACTGCCTGATGCCAGAGTTGTCAGCCCAGACAAGTTTAGCATTCTTGAACTGGGTATTGAGAAGCTCTCCCGAGTATCCACATTGCACCAAAAGTACTGAGAAGCAGACTGTGCTGGAGTCCAGCTGAGTGGGATAATGCCCTCCAAGCACCAGCCACACCCCGGGGAGCCATTTGGCAGGCAGCAAAAGTGGGGAGTATGTCTGAGCCGCAAGAGCTTCCAGAGGGAATGTGACATTGGCAGTGAGTAATGCACAGATAATGGCTTGTGATTTCAGGGGCACTGGTAGTATTTCACTGCTGTGTGCTCCAGGCTTCACCTTCACAATAGTGTTGGGTAGAAAGGTGATTGGTGTATGATAAAAAGTAATAAAAAAAGGAAAAAACTTTTTCAGTCTTAAAGTATGCCCTAGCGATGAAAGGATTGTGTCATCTGACCTACTTGTGTGGAGAGGTTCGTGTTCTGGGTACACTTACCTAGCAGGAAGTTTGGAGGAATTCCAGTGAAACTGTGAATGTTGTGTAACACCCGTGGCTATAGTTCCCCACCAGTTAGAAGATTCTTGTGTTTAAACCATAGATCTGGAGCAATTCCAGGCAATTTGATTTAAAGTAAACATCCTGGATGCAGTGTGTCAAATACTAGCACAATATTGTTTTAGTCTTTCTCATTTC